TTTTTCAGCAAGCGGGTCTGGCCTAAGGTGAATTTTAAATAGGGACAATTTTAATGATTTTAATAAGACACAGCGACAAATATTTGTTTTTAATTGGTTTTTATTGGGGATAATGTTTTATACTGTTTTAATATGCTGTGAGCCGCCCTGAGTCCTGTGGGGAGAAGGGCGGCATATAAGTCCAATAAATGAAATGAATGAAAATGAGATAATGAAATTGAAATTTATTAAGATGATTGATTTTTTTTGATTAATTGATATGCTTTATAATCTCTGTTGTTTTTGTTGACTACAGTTACTGATCATTATATTAGCCCTGTGGAATACTTGTATCCGGATGATAGTTTGCTTGCTAAAGCGTGAAATGTTATTGGGGGCAACCCCATTGTTGTACCCATTCCCACCCTAAATCCTCCCTTGAACCCCACCCTGGACCCCACCATTCATAATGACCCTCGCTTTTCCCTATCTTGAAAAAAGTAATAAAGTATATATAAAAAACAAAAAAACAAAAGGTGATCCTGGCATACTGCAACCGTCATAAAGATGAGTCTGTTGCCTGGCGTCTGAATTTTGATTATGTGAACGTGGGGCTGCTGCAACGGTTGTAAATGTGAAAAGGAATTATAAGTCACTTTTTTTCAGTGCCGTTGTAACTTCAATCGGTCACTAAATGGTTGTAAGTCAAGGACTATCTGTACTTCTGGCTGCAGATGTGGGTTGCCGTTAATACTTAAGATTAAAGATGGACAGTATTTAATATTTATTTGTTATGTATATGTAAGGGTGTGGGTCTATACATATGTTGTATATAGTATGTTTAGGTGTGTGTCATGTATGTGTTTCACTTTGAGAGCGGGCAACTAAATTTCATTTTTGATGTGTGCCGTTGTGCCCACAGTAAAAAAATGACAATAAAGGTTATCTTATCTTCTTATCTTATCTCGAAACACCTCTGCAAATAAAAACTAGTGCAACTAAGACGGGACTTGGAACCATTCTCCATAATTTGTTCCCCCCTGCAAATTTTCAGGGACTGATCTGGATAAGGGGAATCATTCCAGAGCTACAGTATGTGACATCTGAAGTTATATGTTTTGCTCCATCAAGTTGCACAGCTGTATGCCCCTGTTTGACCTGTTGGAGGGTGTAATTGGAGCTTCTGGACAGCTGCAGGTGGCTAACCAGATGTTGTCACTGGAAAGAACATAGCTAAAATGTTTTAACTTAGTTAGAAGGGGAGGGGGAAGGGATTCCTTTGAGAAGCAAGCTAATTTGGTAGTCTTGCTGAATTTTGAGGTGTTGTGGGACACCGGTGGGTACTTCATTTAGCCCACAAGCTACCAGTTTCCTGCTGTTGTAATTCAGCCATCCCTGGCCTGGTTTGGTTTTAATTGTGGTGCCTGGGAACTTGCTTGAAATTTTATAGAGGGTCTCACTTGAAGCTGCAGGATTATTATAAAGGAAAATATAAGTACAATTCAGGCAATAATCTTCCTGAACATCTGCAACTTGTAACAGTTTCTAGGCCTCTGCCACTGAGCTATACTTCTCCACACAAATGCTCTGAGGTCTGAAGTGGAAGTCTAGCAACTGCTTATTTGGAATCCCATCTGTTTCTGGGCCAAATGGATTACATGTTGTAGAACTGCATTATTTTTGCAAAGCAGCATATGCATGCAGGTAGCATTCACTTTTCTAAGTTAACCAAACTATGTTGTAGTGCAAATTGTGGTCTGAAATCCTGCAGTTTCTTGATACAGGTAAATGGAGCATTTAAAATTACTAGCTTTGTTGTTATTGTAAGTGTTCAAACTGAAGCTATGACACTGTTTTGCAGCAGTAAGTCTGGAAAGCTTACTTTAGGATACAAATATTCTTCACTATCTACTTCAATACTTTCTTATTTTGTTGGTTCATAGAAAATCTGTTCACGTGTGCATAATAATGCCTATTCTTTCTTTCTCTCCTAGTGTCTCATTATTGGGGCTGGACCCTGTGGCCTTCGGACAGCCATTGATCTCACCTTTTTAGGAGCAAAGGTGGTGGTGATAGAAAAGCGTGATGCCTTCTCCCGCAACAATGTTCTGCATCTGTGGCCGTTCACCATTCATGACTTGAGAGGCCTTGGCGCCAAAAAGTTCTATGGCAAATTTTGTGCAGGAGCCATCGACCATATCAGTAAGGACCACTTACAGGTGGAAGGAGTGGATAGTATATGACAGTGGTGGCGAACCTATGGCTGCGCGCCATGCCCCGGAGATGGCAACTGTCCCTCTTTAACTAGCCGAGGTCCCACGTGGCTGGATGCATCCCGGCACGGCTGATTTCCCTCCCCCCATCCCGTCCCTCCTGGCCTTGCATGCTCTCCTTTTCCCGGGCATGACCCACTGCATCGCCTCCTCAGTTGTCGGCTGGACATCCATCTCAGAGGCAGATTCTTTGAACTGCTGATGGTGGGCTGCGGAGCTCCAGAGTGTGCTGGTCAACGGGCCGGCAGGCTGTGGCTGCTGATGGACACCGTTGGCCCCCATGCGCTCACTGGCCTCTGTGTGCGGGGGCCGATGGTGTCAGGCAGCATCCGCCCCTTGCCTTGCCCCATGGCAATGGCAGCCCCGCCCTGCCGTGCCTCACCCCGCAGGACGAGCCTACTGCCCCACCTACCAGAGACCCCCTGGATCTCCCCCAACCGTGCCCACCCCCCACAGGTGTCCCTTCCCACGAGCAACATTGAGGTGACCACGCCTACCTTGGCCACACTCACCCAATCTGCTATGACCACCACAGCCACGCCCACCCAGTGGACCACATCCACCTGGCACAAGGTGATAAATAAGTGGGTTTTGGGTTGCAGTTTGGGCACTCGGTCTCTAAAAGGTTCGCCATCACTGGTATATGATGTCACCATAATAAAGGTTGAGGACAAATGGATTGTATCAGATTTCATGGACGAGGTAGACTTAAGAAAGAGAAGTTAGTGTGAAAGTCTAAGCATAAGGCATAGTTATGAGGAGAAAGCATGAGTAATTTAAAACTTGGAAGTTTATTTTTTATACCTATACCACCAGCTTTAATAAAATCTTCTTTAAAAAATCAGAAATATGCTTTTATTCCAGTAGTGATGCTGAGATCCACAGGGTAGGTTCCAGGCCTTCTATCCCAAAACTCAATTGGGTTCTGATTCTCTAGCCCTCTGCTTTGATTGGGATAGCAGCTGTGTGTTTCCTGTTGCTACCTACTATTATTCAGAGAGCTTATCACCTGGCATCTATACTATAAGTCCAGTGGGGCAAGATCTTGTACCCTATGTTGCCTTTCTGGTGCTTAAAAGATAACAATACGAAAGATTGGGGAGGCTGAATGCAACCACATGTTTATTAGATCCGTGTCCCTCCTGGCTGGTACTGGCAGCTCGGGGGGGTACACGAGCCTGGTTCCAGGGAATTATTAACGCTTCTTTGCAGGAGGGTGTCTTCCCTGCGGCCTTAAAGGAGGCCGTTGTGAGGCCCCTCCTCAAGAAGCCTTCCCTGGACCCAGATGAGTTGG